TATTTGTAGTGTAACATATAACAATGCAGTGAAACTACATTAAGTTGAACTGCATATTAACAAAAAGGAAAGGTCCAATTATTTACCTACTTCTGTTCATTTTAATGCCTGGAAGCCTTAAAATTAAAATGTAGTGTTCAGCATAATTTTCAGCGTTGTACTCAGCTGAAACTGTGTAATGAAGGGCATTTGGGTGTAGCACAGAGACCGTGAGACTCAGAGTAGAAACCTGGATTTGATTCCTAGTTCTTTCAACACAAATTTTCTGGGTCTTAAATCTTTTGTTTTTAAAAATAATAAGCATACCTTTCTCGTAAGATTGTAGAGAGCATGAAATAAGGCAATGAATGAGAAAGTGCCCACATGATATGTTGTACTAGGAGCTTAATAAACCTTCATTTATTCTATATCTAGTATAAACATTCAATTGTTCCTAGTCTTCTAATTAAGGGTAATTCTCTGCCTTTCTTTCTCCCTTTCCCTTATCAAAGTTTTCTTGCTGTTTGCGTGTCTTTTTATTTACTGTTTTTCAGTCAGGCTTCTTTTTACAAAATCTAGCTACTTTAAGAAAAAGAGAAATTTATTAAAAGATATTAGATATTTAATAAAATCTGGGAAGGCCAGAAAAATCAGGTTCAGAAGCTGCACTTGACTGTTCCAGAGACCTAACAGCCACTGGCACTAGGCAACAGCATCACCAACGCCCCCACCACAGTGCCACCCCAGAAGGGCACCCATGGCTTCCTGTCACTGCCGCCTCCCTCAGGCTCAGCAAAGTGGAGTCCAGGGGGATTTTATGTCTGCATCTGATTGGTGGTGTCCTTCCACCATGGCAGCAAGAGAAACTGGGAAGTTGAGGTTCTGATTTCTACTTTGGGAGACAAGACCTCAAAGAATAGGAATTCCACAAATGTAAGAAAGCTATTGAAAGGTTCCAGATGGCTAAAAAGCATGACAACTTCACCTTGCTCTCTGTTTTTTGTTTTTGTTGTTGTTCGTTTGATCCCATCAAGCTAATCAAATGGTGTTTTAGGAGTTTCTAGAAGCAGAAAACCTGAAGAAGTTCATCTAATGGCAGAAATAGCAGGATCAGTAAAAAACCACAAACTGTTGATCTTCTCCACTATCTCCAACTCTATTCCTCCCTGTCTCTGGGTATGTGAATTTCTGTGTTTTATGCTGGAAAAGCATAGTACTGTACTATGCTAATAAAACATGCATTGATTGATGGATTAAACATTAATTGAATTGCAGAACATATGCAAGAAACAAAAAATATTAATGCAAATGTAAGTAAAATCTGTTCCTTTTATTCTTAGAATTTACATCCTAGTTAGAAAATATATAAACCCCTAGTTATAGGCAGCATGAAAAGAGCTTTAACAAGGAAAACACTGTGCACATAGGTAATGTTTAAAGATACAGGCCGGGCGCGGTGGCTCAAGCCTGTAATCCCAGCACTGTGGGAGGCCGAGGTGGGTGGATCACGAGGTCAAGAGATCGAGACCATCCTGGTCAACATGGTGAAACCCCGTCTCTACTAAAAATACAAAAAATTAGCTGGGCATGGTGGTGCGTGCCTGTAATCCCAGCGACTCAGGAGGCTGGGGCAGGAGAATTGCCTGAACCCAGGAGGCGGAGGTTGCGGTGAGCCGAGATCGCGCCATTGCACTCCAGCCTGGGTAACATGAGCGAAACTCCGTTTCAAAAAAAAATAAATAAAAATAAATTTAAAAAAATAAAAAAATTTTAAAAAAGATACAAATTCTAACCCCTATAATGGAAAACCCAAGGTTGAAAGTATTGTCCAGTTATAACTATATCACAAACATACTGGTAAGCATATTTTGTTAAACAGGTAACTGGAAATATGTCAATTCACTATTCTGTTTTGTGATAATCTCAGACTTCACTGTATGCTTTCAATTTTTATTCAGACTCAAGTTTTTTGATCTTTCATTGCCTTCAAATCATCATTTCAAGCTTTGTTGTTATTCAGACACTGTAAAATGAAATTTTAGATTATAAAATGTCCTTGAAAATAGACTACAATACTAATGTTTTAGTTTCTAGTCTTAAAACATTATCGCTTTTAATTTACATTTCTTATGTATACTCATTTAATAACCAACTTTAAATTCAGTAATCACATTTTCCCCTAAGCTTTGATTAGAACAATTACAGTAAATGAAAATAAGAAAGTAATTTTTGTAAAGCTATTCATAAAGTATCCTTTTCGAGCCATAAAGAAGCTTTCCAAATAGTTTTTTTCAGTGTTAGGCCTAAAAAAAATTATTTCTGTTCTGCTCAAGCTACACAGATCCAAAACTCTTTCATTGTCTGTTCATCTTTGTCTTGGTCTCCCCTAGTATGATGGCTCTCAGAAGAAGCCTTAGCACAAAAACGGTACTCAAGAAGTGCTGCTGAATGAATTTCTGACCCTCTTAACCCAGAACAAGAAGGTGGAAATATCAGCAGAAAGTCCCTTTAACAATAAAAAGTCTATGAACAGATGAAAAAAATAGAGAAAAAGATAACTGATTTTTACGTGTACCTACCCCAATTTGTCTTTAGCCCTGAAGTCTGTTGGCCAGTGCCTCTTCTGGAGTTGCTTTAAAGAACAAGAATATACATCAGCACATACCTAACTGAAATATTGGTGGAGACTGCCACATCAACTTACATTATCAATTGATTTGTAATCTATGGCTGAATATTTTCTGTTGACTCACTACTGTATGCTTAATACTGAAGATCGTATTCCTGGTTATATAATTCTATCACATGGCATTCTGAGTACTGTGTTTTTAAAGTTACGCTAATAATGTGTATGGGGGAAAAGGGACTTCAAACCACTGTGATTATCAGTGTTTTTATAATATCTTTTACTCATTATGGTAAAATGAAGTCAATTCATTAGACATGTTTCAGCCGGGCATGGTGGCTCATGCCTGTAATCCCAGCACTTTGGGAGACCAAGGGGCAGATCACAAGGTCAGAAGTTCGAGACCAGTCTGACCAACCTAGTTAACCCCCATCTTTACTAAAAATACAAAAGTTAGCTGGGCATGGCAGCAGGCACCTGTAGTCCCAGCTACTTGGGAGGTTGAGGCAGGAGAATTGCTTGAACCAGGGAGGCAGAGGTTAAAGTGAGCTGAGATCACACCATTGCACTCCAGCCTGGGTGATAGAGCGAGACTCTGTCTCAAAAAACAAAAAGAAAAACATATTTCATTAAGGCCCATAGACTATAAAGGGATATGCCACTTTATAAGGATGGGGTAGAGCCAATCCCATTTTTTACAAGTGTGAATTCCTTTGATTAACTCAGATTATCCTCTCTAGAAGTGGGAAGATTGAAGAAGTCATCTTTCACTGTTCTTATATCTTTATTCTTTCATTCCTAAATCCCTCAAATTTCCCAAGACTCCATTGCAAAAAGAAAAGAAAAGAAAATGCACTAAAAAACTTCCATACAACGTTTCTACTTTCACCTCTTTGCACTGAAACTATTAACGTGACCACATTCAATCTTAATGAAGGCTCAGAAATTTCATTTTATTTTTTATTGCTTACAATGAACACATTGAGGTTTTATTACTGAGAACATATGGAAAAAGGAATATCAGCAGACAGCTAGAAAATTGGCATGAGGGTCCTCCTTATCCCTCCCATGATGTAGTGTGTGGGATTTCATTCTGGAGGTTTCAGGACAGATTCCCTTCCTTACCCCACCTACACTACACTACACTACCTTTCTCTCTACCCCATATGCATCCATGAGCTTTATTTTCTTTTCTTTTCCTTAGACAGTGTTTCACATGTCACCCAAGCTGGAGTGCAGTGGTGAGATCATGGCTCCCTGTAGCCTCAAACTCCCAGGCTCAAGCGATCCTCCCTTCTCAGCCTCCTGAGTAGCTGGGACTACAGGCATGTGCCACCATGCCAGGCTTTTTTTTTTTTTTTTTTTTTTTTTTTTTTTTTTGGTAGAAACAGGAGTCTCACTATTTGATCCAGGCTAGACTCAAACTCCTGGCCTCAAGCCGTCCTCCTGCCTTGGCCTTCCAAAGTGCTGGGAACTTTCTTCTTATGTATCCAAATACACTTCTCCTGCTCAAAGGAGAAAAGAAGGGAGTAATTAGTGAAAGACAGACTGACTTTCACTATTTAAGCTACTGAGTACTCTGAATTTTAATAAGAGGATCTGAGCCAAATTCTAATCCTCTGCTTGTGTGTTTGCTATCTAAATTGAGACCACAGTCCATTTTAATTGAACATAAAATCTGCTGTTTGATCCTAAGAAATAGAACAGTGTTTTCATTTGCTAGTAAGTAGATTTTGGACTTCTTCCCAAAAGAAGCTAAACTTTAGTGATAGTTACAATATTATCTCATTCAAACAAAGGCCTGGAACATGTAATATTCTCTGGGGAGGTACCAACCTCTGTGAGCAGAAGATTCAGTGATTTGAATAACAAACTTAAACTCCAGACATAGCCCTGGCTAGCCAGGCAGTTATTCTCACACTCCACAGAACACTAGAGGTTTCAGAAGGACACCTAGTTTCAAAGAATGAAGCAGAGTAGACAGGGCCCACCTACCCTCACACACATACTTCATTCTATCTACATTTTATGTATTGAACTTCTATATGAAGCGTTGTTTGAAGAAAAGCTTTAACTACTTTTGAAATCGGACATTGTTGTTTTCAACCCCAATTCTCTTCCTTATGGATTTGTTTCTTAAGAATGTTATAACCTTGAAGTTCATAAGCCTTTCAGGAGCAACTGGAGAAGGGTGAAAAGAGAAGAACTTAGGGGAAGCTTCTGCCTACTTGTTGTTATATTTTGGCAAAAGTTTCTTTAACTTATTTAGAAAGACCACAATGATGCATACAACCTAGATTCATAATATGATTTGATTAGCAAGACTATATTAGTGTATTTGTCTCACTGGAAGTCAATTTATATGTACCATTAAAATTATTCCTCCTTTTTTTTAAGTCATTTAATTTTTGCTTTCTAATGCTTAAGTCTTTTTTTTATGTGTGAATATATTTATCGCCCCCCAAAATTGAATATTTGTATCCAGATCAGCATACACATAGGAGATGATGACTAACAGACAAGATCTGGTAATTTGCCTATTAAAGCTTCACCACAACTTTATTGTTTGTTTCTGTTATCAGGATCTTCTCAGCGGTCCTACTTCATCTGTCAAATATTCCATGGAGACAAAAAAAAAAAGGCAAGTGTTCTTAGTCTTGTTATCTCGTTAACTATAAAAGTTCAGTCTTTTTGTTTTGGTAGATTAGCTTTAAGTAATAATTACATCTCTAAAGAGTAGTTGTGAGTTCTATTCTAAATAAAATACTCTAAGAATTTATTTCTCTCTGCATCTCTTTCTTCACTCTCCAACTCATATTTCTTCATGACAACAAAATATCGAATAAAGGTTTCTCCTAGAGCCTGCCTCAGACATTGATCTTCTTCCAGTGCCACAAGGGCATCTTCCAGTTTTAAAGGGATCTCGGAAGGTTCTACTTGGTAGAAGTCTGTGCTCTCATCTGGACCGGCCAAGACCTCATCACTTGTATGAAGTCCATCTAGGCCTGCAGCCACAGTTGCAGCCAGCACCAAGTAAGGATTTGCTGTTGCTGAGCCTAGTTTATTTTCTATCCGGGTGCCTTTCTCTCCATGACACTTGATATTAAATATACAGCTGTTATCATTGTATCCCCACGTTGTAGGCACACTCTCCTTCAGGTCTTTTCTGTCCTTGGAATAACGCTTTCGGCAGCTAACAGCAGGCGCCATCAGGCAACTGAGAGCAGCAGAGTGTTTCAAGAGTCCTGCCAACCATTTTTTCCCAGTAATCGTGATCTGCTCAGTTCCACTGCTGCTGCAGAACATGTTTTTCTTCCTATCGACATCCCAGATACTATGAGACAAAACCCCTGAATTACAAAGTCCAGTCTCAATGAAGAAGCTGGTGATGTAATTATATTTGCTTGCTACTTCTTTGACACCTGTTCTGAGGGTAAATGCGTTATCAGCTGAACTAATGCCAAATTCAGGCAGAAAACAGATTTCCATCTGACCAGGCCTGGTAGGGGAGGAAAAACTCTCAACATTGGCTCCAGTGTGATATAAGCCATCAACAAGTTCCTGCATGAAGGGCTGATCATGGTTATTAAAAAATGTTGAAGCAGGAAAAGATATGGTCTTTGAATTTAAAATTTCTGGCACACCAAAAATGCAAAAATCATAGATGAAGGCAGAAAGCAGGGAAAAGCCAGAGGCCTGTAGCTGGCTCAACTGCCTTTTCGCAATGTACCTTGGGGAAGTCAAAAGAGGCTCACCAGTCACAGTGAAAGTATCACATATCACTCTTGCAGTTCTCTCAGCCCATGGCAAAACTCTAAAGGTTGATACCTCTGGCATTAGGACTATGTCACTATTAAAACAGGTGGCTCTTAGGTGATTCATTTCATTGTCCTTAGGATTTGGCATCACTTCAAGATAACCTCGGGGCATGCAAACACCTTGGCTCACTTTCTCCTAAAGAAGGGAAAAAATTAAGAAATTAGGTTTTGAAAACAAACAAAAGGGTTGGGGGAAAAAAGCATTGCTAATGAAAAAAAATATATATATATATACACATAAATATGTATATACATATACATATATATATATGTATATATATACATAAATATGTATATACGTATACATATATATATATATATTTAACATCTGTTGGTTAACACTAACTTGATATCAGATGTTAATTATTTTAAAATAAAACCACTTGATATCAGATGTTAAATATTTTAAAATAAAACCCCCAAAGGCAACTTTATAAACAATGCAACGTTTTAAGCCTTGAAGGCCTTATATGCTCTTAGGTCTGAAAATTGCAGTTATAAATAAAAGGCATAATGATAAAGAAAATCACATTATAGCAAAAACAAAGGTAAAGCCTTATGGAATTATTTGAAATTATCATCAAAACTACTTTCTGAAGCACATTTTATTTTATAGTACAGTTAAGCCTTCAGATAAGGCTTTATTTTTGCTTCTTTTATTGTAATACTGAGTTAACTGACTCTCAAAAGCCTACAGTAAACAATTCTCAATCCTTCTCAAATTGCAGACTGTGGTCAGTACCATGACACACAGCACGTCTGTTCTGACACCAGAGGGCCAGGAAACTAACAGCTGCCTTCCTCTCTTTATTCACTTTTCCAACCCATTTAAGAATTAAAAACCTCACTGTCTCACAGTCCCAGAAACCTCATCTGTGAATGTGGACCTATAACTCCAAAGTTATAGCTTCCGAAATGTTGTTACCTTTTAAGTCAGCATGAACTGGGCGTCAAAGATCTGCCTTCTCATCCTAGCTCTTTCATTAATTGCTTCTGTGAATTTCAGCAAGTTACTGGATTATGTGCCTCAGCTTCCACATTGGTAAAACAACTGTTAGACTAGATGACTGCTAAGGTACTTTCTAGCTACCTGTCTCTGGGGTTCAGTGATTTTGGTCCTTTATTTAACTTTTGCTCTGTTCCAGGCAGTAGGGAAGTGATAATAAGGTTAAGCTGAACAGACACATAAAACAATTTCTGGAAAATATGTGTAAGAAATATCAACAAGGTTGAAGGTTACATTAATAGATGGAGAAAAATCACTGACTGTAAAGGTTGGTTCCCATGAAGTCAGTGAAGATCATGAGGTTAATAAAACACCCTAGCAATCTGCAAGCTACATGCTTTCTTCTTCTTTCTTTCTTTTTCTCTTTTTTTCCCCCACTTGTAAACAACAGAAACTTGTTCCTCTTTAGTTCTGGAGACTGAGAAGTACAAGATCAAGGCTCGAGCAGATTTGGGGCCTTATGAGGGCTGCTTTCCGGTTCGTGTATGGCTTCTTCTTGTGTATCCTCACATGCTGGGAGGAAGCCAGATTATTTATGTTACTTCCAGACCCCAACAAGCATGGCTATCAAAGAGGGGCTGGTATTAGCCAAAGTAATTTACTGATTCACTCTTCTGCATTTGCCCAGGAACCACTGCCTCCTTCTCTTTCCACCATCTCTACACATATTCTCAAATGCTATTTAACCAAACAGATCCAAGTCTACTTTAACCAGTAATAAGTTGAGTGAGCCAAACACTATTTGGTGCCTACCTAATTCTCCATCTCACTCATGGACCTGTGCATGTAAACTTCATACACACACACACACACGCGCACACACACACACACACACACACAGTGAGATATTAGAATACTATAATATGAAATCATTTAATTCATATTTTCACTATAAGCAATAATGTTATTTCTCTGCTTGTCAGTTTTTTAGCTTGAAATTCTGTATATTAATTCTTTACATATCTAAAATGAGGAATAATATATTTTATTCATGAGACTTGTATGAGTTTCTGCAATTTAAGTATGTGTTTGTATTCACTTGGCTGTGAGTAGCAGAGAACAGCTGGTTGCTATTTCATTCCAATAGTCCTTCATGAACTCAAAAAATAGTAAAAGATCACACTTTATTCTTTAGACTATTTAATCCATATTTTTCTGAGCACTCTTTTCCAACACTGTAATTTGCTTTATTCTTTTCTTGAACATAGAGAATGCAAACTACTTTCCATTAGTTATGGAAAATATATAAATATATATGAATATATTCATGATAATATATTGTCTTAAATAGTGTTTATAGATATAAAGCACTGGAACAACTTCACTTAATAAAATTTTTTCAGAATAACTTAAATCCTTATCACAAATGAAACTTGGACCTATTAAAGGTCATCTTTAGAAATAAGCCAAGAATTAATTATGCATCCTATAGCAAATATCATGTTTTGGCTAGATCAAATATAGAAAAAGCCTACATTACTTGCATGTAATTTAAACAAAAATCAACCCTACTGATAGAACAAAGATAGTATAAGTTGGTTGTAACGTTTAAACCTTACACACCACACACACATGCAATGTGTAGGTTACTTTGCACAAATGAATCTTGGTTTTTTAGGGGACAGAGTAAGGAATACACACACACACACACACACACACACACACACACACACACACACAATGTTTAGGTTATTTCGTACAAATGAATCTTTTTATTTTTTTGAGTCAGAGTTTCACTCTTGTCACCTAGGCTGGAGTGCAATGGCACAGTCTTGGCTCACTGCAACCTCTGTCTCCCAGATTCAAACGATTCTCCTGCCTCAGCCTCCTGAGTAGCTGGATTACAGGCATCCACCACCAGACCCAGCTAATTTTTGTATTTTTAGTAGAGATGGGCTTCACCATGTTGGCCAGGCTGATCTCAGACTCCTGACCTCAGGTGATCTGCCTGCCTTGGCCTCCCAAAGTGCTGAATTACATGCATGAGCAACCACGCCCAGCCTCTCGAACCTATTTTTAATGTCTATTCACCGCAAATTTTCCAGAATAAATTGTTTTGTCTTAAATTACAAATTTTAATTGTGCTAATATTTATTATTTATATCTTCACAAGTTTGAAAAATAAATTTAAAGTGGTTTATTAAAAAATATACATACTCTATGATCATTGAATGAGAACAAAATAATAACTAGGTAATGAAATTAGAAAATTAGTTATTTGGAAACTGGGACTAAGAATAAATTTAGCCTTTGTGAAGATGTATAATAAGTTACATTAAAATTCTCATGATAAACAAACTTTATCTCTAGCTAAACTCCAGAAAAAAAAAGTGTTTTTTATATGTGGGATATTGAACAAAATAATGAAAAATATTTTCAGTAGCAGTTAGATAAAAAAAAAAAAAGCATGTAGAATCTTTCTTATGTCAATTATATCAATCCTTAGCAAGAATAAGCAGCATATTGTTTTATTTTTGTGAAAGGATTCCACTGAGAAACTAGGGTAATGTTCTATATATGGGCTTTTAGATGCCATTAGGAAACTAAATGACTAAATTTTGACAAAAACTGAATAACAAACAGTGTTTTATTGAAGTCTTTGGCAAGTACTTTGAAGTGCCAGTTATTTTTCCTTATGATTCAAAGAGACTCATTTGAATGATATTCTGAGCCAGTCCACAAGAAAATACACATTTTTTTATAAAAATCAAACAACATGTATTCTTGCCTGGATGAAGAGGAAATATCTGCAAGCAGGTCCAAATAATTCCTTAAGAAACAAGTTTGAATCTGTTAGAATTCTTTAAAAAGTGTTTTTGGAGATGCCAAGTTTTTCCCAACATAAAGCAAATTTAAAAATTAGGATCTGATATTAAAGTGATAAAAGTATAACATTTTCAAATAGTTAAACCTAGAGCATGCTTAACTTTTACACTTTCTTAAATAGTACCTACCTGATGTCCCTTGCTAAGAAATGTGATGTTTAATTAACACAACAACTCAGTCATCGCAATAAACACATGACAAATATTGACACAAAGATTAAGGAAGTCTCAAAACAACGGAAACACAATATTTCTTTATATCATTTTTAGGAATTTGATATATATTAAGTCATCCAAAAATGGCATGTTTTCTTAGCAGAATTAGGAGCTGAAAGGGATATGTTGCTTAACTAGCAAATTCTTTCTGTTTAATCATTTTTTCCCTTTTATGTTTGCTCTTGGGTCTTCTGTTGCAATTTTCTCATGTCAAATAAAATATAATCTTCATAATTGCGGTAAGGGAGAAAACATAATTCTGTGGTGCAAAATTACTCAATGCAGAAGGACTAAAATTACCAGTCTTAATTAGTTTTGTATTTCTACTGGGTAAAGAAATTGCTGTTTGAGAGCTGAGAGTACATGTTTAGCTCCTTGGGGAGCAATAATGTGTTTTGGAGGAACAAGAGAAGAAACAAAATAAGTTATTGATTTTCAGCTTGAATTGCTGTATAGATTACAAGAAAATAAGAAAGAGTAATAAGAACCATTTGCTTTCTAATGGTCATGAAATTACATTCAGTCACAACTGTGTATAAAACTCACTTGAAAAAAGTGTGCAGGGATAGTCTTAAACCTGGACACACCATGAAGGTCTGTTGCTTCAAATCGTACAAACTGGAGGCGATTTTTGGCCATGGCTTGTCTAATGTGTTTCATTCTAGAAGAGAGTTGAGGTGGGGTCAATATTTGACTGCTGTCCCTCATGCAATCTGCAAAATAAAAAAAGGTTCTAACTCAGTAGATTATGATGAACTGAGAAGCAAAGGAAACTATAGAGTAGTGAATTAATCATTACGATTAACAAAAACATTAGATATTCATCCTGTCACTGGCTTAGAGTTGGATATCTTACCTTTCTTATCCTGCCCTTATCATCTTCCCAAATTTACTGCGCCTAAACAGCCTAAGAGATCATTTATCAATTAGGATGAGGACAAAATTGACACTATTTGCATAAAGATATAGCAATATCATATGTAGATACTTACTGAAAATCCCTTTGCTTATGGAAATTAGAATATATTTACATGAGTTCACAGCAAAAAAGAGACCATAAAAGTCTGTCTGCAAGTGACTATCATCGAACATATTTGGGCTTCTTGAACTAACTGTTAATTTCTATATTTTAATTTCTATACGATTAAAAGTGAATTTGGTTTTGTTTATTTTCCGGGATTTTGTTTTATTCTGGGAGTTTCTTGCCCGAAGGGCTTTTATATCTTTTTAATGGCATCTAACTCTAAGAAGTCTACATATTTCTATCAAATTTGAAACTTGCTTAAATAAGCAAACAAAAGTGTTTTTTTTTTTTTAAGAATGAGTGTGTAAGAGATGAAAAATCTGGACTGCATACTCAATTTAAAATTAGAAACATAAAAAAAGTTATTTTCAAGATTTTTAAGATACTTCGCAAATTCTAACTTTAGAGCTAGAACTTTAGAGATAAGTCATCTAATTTAACCAACTCTTTACCTTGAGTCCCAAAGTGGTACAATGAGTTACTCCAAACCACACTATCAGTCCACTGCAGGTTTGAAGCTACAATTCCCACTTTTGATTCATGCTGTGTGGCTTATTACCACAAATTAAATTAATATGTCTATAGGACATAGAACAGTCAGGCAAATAGTATATATTATAAATGTTAGTTGCTGTCAGAACTTTTAGGAGAGGCAGCAGAGTATAGTGATTAGCACAAAACACTGAGGCCCATCTACCTCCCTTCCAATCCTGCCTTTGCCCTAGCAACAATCTTATCTTCTTTATGCCTTGGCTTTCTTATCAGTAACATACAACCTACTTCATAGGCTTGTTTTGAGGATTAAACACGTTATTAACAGTTACTGGTAGACAGTAAGCACCATATAAGTGGCACTTAAATGCATAAAGTGAGTACAATTACTCTAGCCCTAGTAAATGATGCCACGATCATGTCTGCCCATCTGTCACATCACTGATATTGAGCAGCTATAATTTTAAAGTGATACCTGAGTATGCTTTTTCAAAATATAATTTATCTTTAAAAATAACCATAAAGATTGACAGTTTAGAAACATAGATTAAGTAGATTTTAAGTACATGAAGCATGGGAAAAATAAATGTTTCCACATATGCAAATATATTACTGATAATGTGCTCTCCCTGATGCATTTGGCTACTCTGAAACTCTGGAGGCTTTATAACTACCTTCCATTTAACACAAACAATTAAACTGTAGCAATTAAAGTGTTTCATGCTAAATTAGCACTTGCTGTATTCCCAACCTACTCTGAAATACTGGGTGTTCAGCCCAAGATGAATAATGCTCCTTAAAACAAAATTTATAGGCATTTTAAAACATGGAAATATGGGTCAGGTATGGTGGCTCACTCCTGTAATACCAGCACTTTGGGAAGCTGAGGTGGGCAGATCACTTGAGGCCAGGAGTTCAAGACCAGCTTGGGCAACATGGCAAAACTCTGTCTCTACTAAAGATACAAAAATTTGCTGGGTGTAGTGTCATGCACCTGTCGTCCCAGCTACTGAGGAAGCTGAGGCATGAGAATTGCTTGAGCCTTGGAGGTGGAGGTTGCAGTGAGCCTAGATCACACCACTACATTCTAGCCTGAGTGACAGAGACTGTCTTAACAATAATAATATGGAAATTTTTAGACAGTGACTATTCTAAACATAATAAGCAATTATGTATAAGCTATAAAGAAGACATCTCCTATAAAACGAGAGAAGTAATTTTATTGGTTCACCAGTAATAGGATAACAGGTAATCTTACTAGTGTTTTGCCTTATCTGTATCTCCTAAATTTTCTGCAAAATACATATTATTTTTAAATAAGTATAATATTTTTTCACTCAACATAGATATTTTTCATCATCACATACTATTCATACTGAATGTGTATCTAGAAATCAGCCAGAAAGAGCCCTTGCCCTCATAGAACTTTATAAAGTGGGGCAACTGTAGATAATAAACATGCCATCAAATGCAAAGGTGGGATCAATTCACACAGTGAAAGTGCTGAAAAAATATTAAACATAATCACCTGAAGTATTAATTGTGTGAGACTTGATCACAATGTGGACAGGTCTAACCCTTGATTCATTTTTAAGTCTCCAAGTTGCCCTGTGGTTGGACAGTGAGTACAGTACACATATTCGTTTGCTAGGGCTACCATAACAGATGCCCCAGACCAGGTGGCTTAAACAGAAATTTTTTTTCTCACAGGTCTGGCGGCTAGAAGTCCAAAGTCAAAGGTGTCCGCAGATTTGTTTCTTCTAAAGACTCTCTCTCCTTGGCTTGTAGACAGCCATCTTCTTCCAGCGTCTTCACATGTTTTTTTCTCTGTGCATGTCCATGACCTAATATCTTCTTCTTATGAAGACATGAGTCATACTGTATTAGGGTCCACCGTACTAATCTTATTTAACCTTAATTATCTCTTTAAAGAGCATATCTCCAAATTTGGTCACATTCTCAGGCACTGAAGGTTAGGATTTCATTATAACAATTTTGGAGAAACACCATTCAATACATAACAGTGGATAATTCTGTTTCTATTTTCTTCACTGTCCTTACTGGCACCTGCCACACTGTATACACACATGTTCCTGTCATCCCCCATTGCCTGTCAGCTCCGTGAGAGCCGAGGCTTAGTTTTACAAGCTGCTGTTTTTTTGCTACTTGTAACAGTACAGGCATCTCATAGGCACTCGACAAATATTTTTTGAACAAGTGAGTGAGTGAATGAATGAATACATCCTGTGTGATTTGACCTTGTCTAATTAATAAAAGTTGTCACCATATATTTTAGTATATATCCTAAATATCAATTTTTCAGTTAAAAGTTCAGTTCTTTCACCAAATATGAGCACACTAGCCAATTCAATTTTATTTTCAAGGCATCAACTGATCTTGCTGCATCATTGTCTGAATTTCTTTTCTTCAGATAAATCATATTTGTTACTTACAATTAAACCTTTTGGTCAGCCTCTCCCAGCTGCACATGATGAATAGCAGACAGATAATTGCCAGTTCAGGAGCTCATTTGTTTTTCCTACAGTGTGGTTCCTGGGAGGTGTTCTTTTCTATGCCCTCAGAGGACTAATAAATTAAATCAATGTGTTTTTATAGAGGATGTTTTAGTGCTGTGAATGTTTAGGGAAAAAATAAGAAAACATTTTTAAAGGAAAAAAACCCTCAAAGCTCTATAGCAACTAGAAGGCCTTGGAGAAATTTTGTCCGTGTTCAATGACGAGGACATATATCAGTTATAGAGAACAAGCCATGGTCACTTATTAAAGGGAGATTGAAGAGGCATTTGGGCTTTCAGAAATGTGAACTCAAAGAAAGGAAAAAGTGCATTTGACAGAAAATTCCGGAATACATTCAGTTATTGCACACGTAGCACAAGACCGTGTTCTTTCAAGGTCCCACCATCTTTCATTATTGTGGCTATGTTTCTGCAAATTTAACCCTGCCTTCTGGCCACATCATACTAGCTCAGCCATTGGTGGGAAGCCTAGGTGGCAGAATAACCAGGTACAAAGCAGAAAAAAGAAAAAAAAGCAATACATAAAAAATGGGAGAAAAGGGGGGTTTTTCTTTGAAAAAAAAAAAGTATTATTTTTCAAAAAACTCAGAGAAGTTATTCCAAAGAAGAAATACCATATCAAAATTCCTTACCTTTATTTTGGTGGGGTTATTTTTAAATTATGTATAGGTGATTGGTTTGCGGTTTAAATGTTTGGTACTGAGGGCCTATAGAGAACTTAATATACACTGGGCCAAAAAGAGAGCTTCTGAGCTAAAGAAGCTAAGTTAGTAATGGTACCCATAAGTCATGGTTGACAGTGCAAAGAGAGCTTATGACACAAGATCTTTCTCCATATTTTTGACTTAAGACAAAAAAATGGTAAATCCATCTCTCTTTTGTAGCTAAAACTAGAATATATAAAACAATTATCACAATCTCTGGAGGAGCCTATGTGGCCCGCAGATATTATCTGATTAGTCTTCCCAGTGTTTAGAAACTTTTTTGAAATAGTGGACAGCATTTCACTATTAGAAAATTTTATGTAGAAATCTTGAGTTCAAATTTCTTTTGAAACTAAATCTGGCAACTCAGGGTAGATACTTCTGCATAGCAACAACTGGTTGGAACTCTGAGGTAGTCTAGATGGGACAGCCAACCTCTACTTCATGAGGCAGCAGACATTTCTGTAAAGGACCAGATAGTAAATATTTGCAACTGTGTAGGCCATATGGTATTGATTGCAGCTACTCCCTAAGCACAATGTCATCTTAGCAGCTATCAATAATATGTAAACGTTACTTACAAAAACTGACCAGCAAGCTGAATTTGGCTCTGGGGCCCTAGTTGGTTGCTCTCTGCTCCAGTTTCTCATCAGCAGCACCACTCCCTATTTACTTACACCAGCCCATCATTTGTATTAACTGTCTGTCCCCTGTGGGCATCTGTATCAACAGCTGCCTGATGTTCAGAGGTCGTTAGTGCTTATGTTCTCCACTTCAGAGAAATTCATAAAGCCGAAGAAGAGAGAAATTCAGATTTGAGAGATGGTGTGGTAGTGAGACCAGAGAGTTCCCTGACCCCCTCTCGAGACTTGCAAAAGGGATGTGACTCATTTACTCGGCCACCATGCTCAAACCACTTATGGGAAGGGGAACATGCCTGTGAGCCAAGCTAAGAGCTTTTGGGCAGCAGCCCTACGGCAGTGTTTAGGGGTGTTACCGTGTTCTTTTAGCTTTGCAATTCACAAATGGCTAGGTGTTAAACCAGTACGGCGGAGAGTCAGGAAAGCAGCCTTTTATACCCTGTCCTCTAGGTACCTTGCTCCTTGTCTGGAGTTTAGGAAGAAACAGGTCACATGGACTTGAAGGATGGTGAATGTGGGGATTTTACTGAGTGACGGAGGTGGCTCTCAGTGGGATGGTTGGGGATCAGGAAATGGGATGGAGTGGGAATATTATTTTCCCCTGGAGTTCGGCTGTCCTGCCACAGATCTCCCTTCCAACCATCCCCAGCCAAGCTCCTCTCTGCATTCACATGCTCCTTCTCTCCCTTGCTGTTCTGCTGCTCTGCCAGTGGAGCTTGAAGTTTATATGGGCATGGGATAGGGGCATGGTGGGCCAGAGTGGTCTTGGAAAAGGCAACTTTTCGGAGTAAAAACAGAAATGCCTGTTTCCATTTAGAGCCATGGGTTTCCAGGCTTTAGGGTGGGGTCTTTGCCAGGGAACTGCCCTCTTCTACCCAGTATTTCCATGGCTAGTCTCCGTTATCAGTAGGCAGAATAGTCCATCGAAAATTTCTACCACACCTAATCCCTGGAGCATGTGAATGTATTAAATTGCATGGCAAAAGGAAACTTGCAAATGTAATTAAGGTTATGGAACTTAAAATAGGGATATTATCTTTGATTATCCATCTAAGCCCTTGAAAGCAGAGGGCTTTTCCCAGTTGAGAGCAGAAAAGAGATGTGGAAGAAGGAATTCAGAAAAGTTCTAAATATGAGAAGGATTTGAGGCATGCTATCTCTGAGATATAAGACCGGAGAGAGGCTTCTGGGAAATAAGGGCCACCCCAGTTGACAGCCAGCCAGGACACAACAACCTAACTTCTACAGTCACAAAGAACTGGATTCTCTCAACAATCTGAAGGAGCTTGTAAGTGTACTGTTCCCTAGAGTCTCTAGATAAGAACCCAGATGGCAACACCTTGACTTTAGCCTTGGAAAACCTGAAACAAGGAAAGCAGATGAGCCAGCCTAGACTTCTGATGTACAGAACTGTGAGATAGTACATTTGTATTTTTTAAAAGACAGTAAATTTGTGGTGATTTGTTATGGTGGGAATAGAAGACTAATACATACAGAATTCTGATAGTGTTTATTTTCCAGGCTCTAGCTCCTCCCTGGGCCCTGTGTATACTAAAGGATTTACCCTTGCCCAAAGAGAGCTCTGGTCTCTGCCCTTGTTCCCTGGGAGATAATCTCCAAGCAGTTAGAATGTCTTGCCAGACAACAGTGTCTTTGTTTACCTAGGGGTTCTAGGCCATGCCAGAAACTCTAACAATGTTATTTATAGTGGTTATTTCAACTCATGCAGTAACCGCTTGATCTCCAAAGGGGCTGGAGAGTGAGGTCAGCCAAATGCCCAGTTAACCATGATGCCCCAGTAGAGACTCTGGACACCGTGACTCAAGTGAGTTTCCCTGGTTCGCAACATTTCTCACATCATTGCCAAGAGAATAGTGCTGTCCGTGACTCCACTAAGAAAGGACAAGTGAACATTCTGTGCTTAGAACTTCCCTGGACTGCCCATGGCTGATTTTAATTTGTATCCTTTTAGTGTAATAAATCATAACCGTGAATATAACAGCTTTCAGTGAATTCAGTGAGTCGTTACTTGGGGAATTCCAAAACTTGTAATTGGTGTCACAAGTGAGGGTAATGTGGTAGTAACTAACCCTCTAACTTCCCACTCTGGTATATTTTCATCTTTCCAAATCTTATATGTTTAAGCTGTCATAGATTTCCGTTATTTTCTTTTTTTTTTTTTGGCAAGGGGTGGAGGAGGCAGGGTCTCTCTCTGTTACCCTGGCTTGAATGAAATAGCACAATCACAACTTCCTGTAGCCTCAACCTCCTGGGCTCAAGTGATCCTCCCACTTCAGCCCCCTAAGTAGCTAGGATCACAGGCATGTGTCACCACATACAGCCAATTTTTGTGTGTGTGTGTGTGTAGAAAGACAGTCTGCCTATGTTGCTCAGGCTGATCTCGAAATCCAGGTCTCAAATGATCCTCCCACTTCAGCCTCCCAAAGTGCTGGGATTACAGGTGTAAGCCATTGTGCCTGGCCTTTAGATTTCCTTTTAGAATTAATTTCTAGCATTTTCATCCAAGAGAGTTTTAAACAATACATTCATGTACCAAAATAATTACATTACTATCAATAAGCCAGAAACTTAGAAATAGGATTTTACTTTTAGAAAAAGTGAGACATCTTCCATTGCAACCTTTCTATTCTTCACATGAGCAGCCTAAAGGATAAAGAAAACTGCAAACCATTTTATAAAAGATAGGTATATAAATTTTTGTAAGTGCTCTGACTCCCAGGCTGGTATTCCTCAACCAACATTGCATTCTCTCAATTCAAATACAAACTTGGGGTTAGTGGCTAGAACCACATATCAGTTTGTTCCCAAATCCTTACCAGTAAATCCTTACCAGAGATTGGGTTAAATTCACCACTAGGAACATTGGTTGTTGTTCTGGGGGACAATAGTTTTATCACTGTTGTCTCATCCTGAGAGTCCTTGTCATCATGTGACAGTTGAGACTCAGCAGAGCCAGGTCCCATGACTGGTTTGCTCATTTTCCCTAATTTGTGGCACACCATTTGGTCTCTGATCCTCTCTGTAGTAATAAGGAAAAATGTTAAAATATGTTGCCCTTGTTTTCAACTGTCTCTTAATACAATATGGAGAGGAATACTTGAGAAAATAGTATATTCCTAGCAGTGACATATTAAATGAGAGGCAGTGAGAGTGGTCTGCCCTAGTCGCTGACCAAAAATGTGCATTGTTTGTAGAGAATTTAAAAACAGACCAGGCACAGTGACTTATGTCCGTACCCTATAATCCCAGCACTTCGGGAGGCCAAGGCAGGTGGATCACTTGAGGTCAGGAGTTCAAGACCAGACCAACCAACATGGTGAAACCCTGTCTCTACTAAAAATACAAAAAAAAAAAATTAGACTGGCTTGGTGGCACACTCCTGTAATCCCAGCTACCCAGGAGGCTGAGATAGGAGGATGGCTTGAGCCAGGGAGGAGGAGGTTGCAGTGAGCCAAGATCACGCCACTGCACTCCAGCATGGGTGACAGAGTGAGACTCTGTCTCAAAAAAATTATACATAAATAATAAAATCTACTAAAATCTGACTGCTTTTTATTCTAACCATATGCTGGGAATTCCTAGTGTCCTGCCTTAGGACACAGTGACTCCTAGGATTGAGCCTGTTGCCCAGATTAACTTCTAGGTTTAGCAGTGTGTCAGATCTGTTGAAATCTAGTTGGAGTTCCAACATGTGTTATGAAAACACCTTCCCTACCGTTCTTATGACCTCCCCAAATCCTCAGTAATGATTTCTGTATGCAGTTTCGGAGCAGAAGACTGTCTCTCTTCCTAGTTGTGCTTTCCTCTGTTTTGTTCTCTTTTTTTTTTCTACTATTACCACTCTAATTCTGACCCCCTTTAAATTGTAAATATTTTGATTATTTTTATATATTTACATTGTAAGCTTATATTTGCCATCTTTTATGTCACCTATATAGGAATAAATTTTGTTTCTTTTTCCTTTTGCTTCTCCCAAAGAAGAAAGGAAGATGTTTTATTAAAACAAAGACCAAATGGAGATTGCCATTGACCACATCATTTTTGAGAGATCAGAGGAGTTAGATACCATTTGAGTTGGATATATCCATTTCTCCCACTTCAGTTGAATAAACATGTGATTTAGTGACTTTCTTCCTCGTCTTTCTTAATTTATGCATGCTGTTGGCTTCAGTCTCATTGCCTTCATCTTTTGTTGAGTCCTGTTGTTATTAAATAAAAAGCCAAATAACAAATTATTTATACAACTATATATGGATGTCAAAAAAGTATTACAATTGAATAGCTAGATTTCTTAATGAGCATAGAAGACTTTTATAATGATGAAAATTTTGTCACTTCTAAAATCACTTCAATAACTCAACATTTAAAAGCCCAATGTTGTGCTGATAGGCTAGATATTCTCTATCTCCTTTTATATGTGGCACAGAAAATATCATTAAGTAAATTAAGATCTTGTCTAATTACTCAAGATTTCTATGTTTATTTTTTACTTTGGGAATTTTATGTTATTCATTTCTAAATAATTTTTCAAAACCTATTTCAGCTAAAAAGTTTACTTTTTATGATTTCTGTTATTCAGGATCTCTAGCCTTTCTGTCTGAAACCATAGTTTCTGAAGAATTGTATTCTCTACTCTCTTTTTTCTTATGAAAGAGGAAAAATGAATATTGATGCAATGAATAATTAATAATTGCATCAATATTTAATTCAAAAAAGTACTTGAATTCATCAAGTGCTATTTTGTGACTGTGTTTTATATGTGTAAAACAAATATCATACCCAGACTATTTTATAGCTTAAAAAAATGCATTTAAAAAAAAATAACCTAACTTTCACAATCCAGTTATAATCCTTGACATGACAGGATATGCCCAGCAGGGAGTTGGGCAGTGAGGCAGGGGCTGGCGCTAGGGAGTTCAGGAATCTCAGCACTAACAGTGAACAGAGTCACCCCTGCAGTCCCGAGACAAAGAAGTTGTCACTGAAAAAATATATTAAAATTTTTGAAAAAGCTGACACGGGTATTTTTAAGTTTTTTTTTTTTGTTTTTTTTTTTGCAAACCTCTCACAGTGGTTTGAGGGGAGAGGAAAGTGACAGGGTCAGGGTCAAAAAGTATATTGGAAATGTTTTGAGCTTAGTATCTTTTTGAAAATCTGTCTCTGAGAGGTTTTACATCTGTGAGAGAGTTATATAAATATATGTTTTGTAGTTGCCGGGGAACAGCTGTATCAGTTTGTCTATAAAACCAATTCAGTCTCCCAGGGCTAAAACAGAAAAAGAAAGATTTTCATTTTTTGGTGTTTATATGTAATTATGATGCATTGTTATTATTGTTATATTAACAAAGTTATAGTTCCTAGAACAAAGGCTTTTCTGTTATTTTAAATTTTTCTGTAATTTTCAAGTTTCACATGGTCTTTTTCACTCCAGATAACCTTATATTTCGATAATATGGTATTTAATATGTGATATAATAATTTTTTAAGTAATTTAGGATTCAATTTCAATATTTGCATAAATTTTCTCAATACACTTCTGATAGAATCTGGCAGTAATATAAAGCTTTATTGTACATATTTATCATCTCTAAAAATTGTTTTGCTAGAAACGCATAGTCTATCATTTTACTTTTGTTATATATATATGGTCTTTTAAAGAAGTGTTATTTAGAAAATGAAATACTTAGCCAGGTATATAATTATCAATGCAATAAGAGCAGACTAACAGTTATCTTAGCTTGACACTTTAGGAATCTTCTCATATATAAATGGAAGGAATCCGGTGAGATAAACTTTAACAGCTCAAACCCTAACCTGCAACTGAATGAACAATTAAATAACGATGTGTTAAAATTAAGCACATTGTCAAGCATGTTTTCTCATGGTACCCTTCAAGGTAATAAAATCACACCATTTTACAAATAAGAAAAGTGAGACTCAGAGTAACTTGCCCCAGGCCACAAGAATGAATGAAAGATGCAGTTTCTAAAAAGATCTTTTGATTTTCAAAATGCTATTCTACTCCCTAAAAGCCAGAGATCCAAGACAAGAAAAAGGTCATTTTAAAAACATTCACCTTCCTTCATATAAACCAAATCAAAAGGGAAAATTTCTTAACCAAAGTAAAAACAATTTACCCAGTTACTAACTGAGGATTTCACCAATAAGAGCCCAAAAACTGTCCAGGTGTCATGGCTCACACCTGTAATCCCAGCACTTTGGGAGGCAGAAGTGAGCAGATCACCTGAGGTCAGGAGTTTGAGACCAGCCTGGTCAGCATGGTGAAACCCCGTCTCTACTAAAAATATGTAAAAATAAGCCAGGCATGGTGGCACATGCCTGTAATCCCAGGTACTCATGAGGCTGAGGCAAAAGAATCACTTGAACCTGGGAGGCGGAGGTGGCTGTGAGCTATATCGCCATTGTACTCCAACCTTGGCAACAGAGCAAGATTCGGACTCAAAAAAAAAAAAGAAAGAAAAGAAAAAGCCCAAAAACTAAGTTGTGATACATTACCTACTCCAGAAAAATGCTCAAAAAAAGGGAGTAGGGGTTTCAGAAAAAGAATACATGTCACACATTTCATTCAGTCCTTTAGTTTTATTTTATATGCTAAGGTGATCAGCATATAAACATAGCTATAATAGATGAAACAAATGTATTGAATCCCTCATTTGTCCCAGCTCCAGTAGAGCATTTTTATTCCCTTTAATCCTTCATCTTTTAATTACACTTAGGTGCAATGTGAATGATGTTTCAGTAAAAAACCTACTAGCCCTAGTGATGAGGTTTGGGTTGTACTTTGACCTTTCCACAAAGTAGCAAGTCCTTCTAGGGCTTTGGCATTCTCCTTTATAAACACTTATATAAATCAAATCGTACTGTTAAATTAAGTTGAGCCTAAAGCTTCCTCCTTACATATTTTAAGTTTGACTTAAAAATTTCTAAGCAGACTATAAACTACTCTTCTACCAATCACAGAATTTCAGCCAATCACAGCGTCTAATTTTTCAAACCCTGTTCAAACACTAATTCTGTACCTCATTTCCATCTTCTGTACATCACTTTCCTTTTCCTGTCCATGAATGTCATCTGACCATGTGACAGGCTAAGAGTCGCTCTGAACATATTCTTATTCTGGTTCTAAGGGCTGTCTGACTCTTGAATTGTTCTTTAACTAAATTTAAAATTTTATTTTTCTAAAGGTTTTTGTCTAACAGATGGCTTCAGAAGTGGGATTTGAAGTAGAGCTTCCAGCAACCCCCAGGAGCATTGAGTGATTAAGCAATGTTCACGCTGGGTCCATTGTATGCATTGCTCTCTCCACGCAACTAGGGATCATGAGTAAGTTGTCTCTCAGATTATGAAGATCCATGTGTTTGTGTTGTGATTACTTTAATCTGTATGTGCACATTTTTTGTCTTAACTGGGTTCAGAAGTCATGACAGAAACTGGACTGGGTTGGACTCAATAATTAATTGGATTATATCCAGTTAGAAGTCTTAGAGGCTGACTGGGCAGACAAACTAGCAGGAAGTGGCAATACTGCAGAAGGTGTGAACTCTGGCTTTCAGAAATTCAGCAGGATTTTGTGTTCTAACCCTTTTGTTTTTCTAATGCGTTAGGTAGGGGAAAATCTTTGCTTAAGTTGCTCAACATGTGAGTGCCAAAAGCAATATTCAGCATAAAAATGGGATCCTTAATTACTGAAGAACTGAGCGCTCCATTTTCATCTACATGTACCTCTACACGCATAATTATTAGGTCCTACCAGCCGCAAATATTTACAAAAAAGGCAAAATCTTATGAAGATAATTTAAAATTATTGTGAAATGTTCCAAATGAACACCTAACTTTAAGAAGTGCATTTAAAAATGAGGACTCCCACATTAGGCATATCTGGGGACACCTATTGATGTGCAGAAGCTTCTAAAAAATGTGAATATTTCTATTGCCTCTTTTTAAAGCCTTTCAAAAGGCAAATAAAAAGCTTAAGCAGCTAATTGATAAGAAAAACTGAATCTGCTAATCTTTTGGCTTAGTTACTATCCTGCCCCAAAGATAAAAAGAGAGTTATATAAAGTGTTCATGAAAGGTAAGCCCCCAAGTAAAGTAGGCTTTTTTCTTTTTCAGAGCTATCCCTGCTGAGTCCACACATAGAGAATTATTTCCTGGCCTTATTAATTAATGGGCTCCAACCTGACCTCAGTAATTTTAGCTAAAAAATAGTGTCTAACTTAAAAAGACTGCCTGTTGAACTAAATTGGTCTCCAAATTCACCTTTCTGGCACTTAGCTGGCTGTTTTTAAACACTTTTGTAAAAGAAATGTACATCTATAAAGGAAATCTCCATTTTTAAGGGTTCCTGCCTCTGTGCAGCAGGAAGAGAGGAAGGACTAAGTTACTAGAGACTTGTAATTGACTTAGATTTATGTAACAAGCCTCACCTTTAAAGTACTTTTTCCTATCCATTGTGTCTTAACTGGGCATTTATCCACATTTATCCACATCCTCCCTCGTTGATTTGGGCAAAAGATGGTACAATATTTAGGCCTAAAGTCTCAACTGTATACATTTGAGAGGGAAAATTTCTATCTTGTTTTACCTAAAAGTCATCCCTTTAGAAGTGAAATTTTAAGGTTGTCCACCTAACAATCGCTTAGAGCATTGAAACAGATAATTGGAAGATTGATAGTCTGAAATGGGGGAAAGAAAAACTATTTGAAATCTAGCAAATGAAAAATATTTCGGAAAACTATAACTTCTGCTGTTGTCTGTGTGTCTGTCTATATGTCTGTATGTGTTATTTGTATCAGATATTTCTTTCTGATCTAATATAATATTTGGCAAATGTAGCTAGTTCAAATTTTTGGCAAAATAAAACAGGAATGTCTTCAGAATTGTCAGTATTAAATATAAATAAGACTTTTTTTTTTTTCCTGGATCTACTGGTCAGAAAGGTTTATGCTGTTTTTGCCGTGTTTTAAGGTCATAATATTGCTGCTTCTGTAAAGTTTTAATATGTGCTTGCCTGTAAGCTGACACTCAAAGGGCTGGCCACTGGGCTTCCCTGAAGCCTTTCACACATCTTACTGTGAGCTTATGTCTTTGATTTTGAGCCTTTGAATTCTGAGGCCTGAAGACATGTGTGTCCACTGTACCTGGGCCACCAGCTGCAGGGTATTGCCAAGCCCAATGT